TTGATTCCTGAGTCCCTTAATATTACTTTGAGTTTTCTATAAATCAGCCCAGACATAATCAATCTGTGTCAAGTTATGATTGAAACTAAATTGTGGGGCTCCAGAGGCTCCTTTGTAACCTGCAAATAACAAGCCACAGCACCGTTTGTAATACAGTTCCTCTGTCTCTCTATGCTTTGGAATGACATTATTTTTATGAGAAGCCACTGTTTGGCTTCTTCCCCCTAGTTCCTTTCAAGCATTTTGTTAACTCCCAGTTGATGACTCCTCTGGCTTCCTGTCTACCCACAGCTTGCCCATCAGGGACGTACAAGCCTGAAGGTTCCCCAGGAGGAATCAGCACCTGCATTCCGTGTCCTGATGAAAATCACACCTCTCCGCCTGGAAGCACGTCCCCCGAAGACTGTGTCTGTAGGGAGGGATACCGGGCATCGGGCCAGACCTGTGAAGGTGCGTCTCCCACTGTTACAAAAAGGAAATATAAATGCTGATCTCTTGAAAGAGAAATAGTGCTGGGGCTTGGATCCAGTTCCTTAAGAATGATCTTTAATGTCCCTTTCTGTAATCATAGAGGAGGGTATTATTGGCTTTTATTCTAAAGCATTTCTTATCACTGAACACATCCATATCCCGCTCTAGAGAAAGAGGATCTATGACCCGAGGAGTAATGTAACCATAACATCAGAAAGATTTAGTACTCAAAAGAATTAAAATAAATCAAAAAGAGAAAAGCCACTATGTTAACAACAGATTTGTATAAAAATGAGCTAACCTTGGCCCTGATCATAGTCAAATCTATTTTTAAAATATACTTTCCTAAGTAAAGTGTCTCAATATCATTCATTTCAAACATTTAAAACATGAAAATGGCACATACCATGTACAAGAAGCTGTAGCGGTTGGGGATTTGTAGCAAATGTACTTTGCTACCCTTATTTTTTTTTTTATTTCGTGACATCTTAATTAAGAGGGAAAATGTCTAATGACATGCAAAAGTCAAGAACTAGAAAATCTCATACCCAGAAGTGAATCAAAATTTTAAAAACAATTCGAGCTTAAAAAATAACACTTAGTCTGTAATTAGAAGTCAATACCTAACAGGAATCAGATGTCAGAGTTCTTCTTCTGAAAATGCACTTATAAAGTAAAATGCAGTAAATGAGATTGTTTGGGGACAGTGAGATGTCTGCCTAAAATGTTCCCTTAAGTTAAATAAAAAAGGAGGATACTTTACAGACAAACATTAACTTTGATTTTTGATTTTATTTCTGTAAATGTTAGTTGTCCACTGCCCTGCCCTGAAGCCTCCTGAAAATGGGTATTTTATCCAAAACACTTGCAACAACCACTTCAATGCAGCCTGTGGGGTCCGATGTCACCCTGGATTTGACCTCGTGGGAAGCAGCATCTTCTTGTGTCTACCCAGTGGTTTGTGGTCCGGTTCAGAGAGCTCCTGCAGGGGTAAGCAAACTGCCAATTTCCATTGTTTATTGATTGTCTTGTTTGATTTCCTTGATTTGAACTCTAATGGACTAGTCAGTTCTTTGTTTCCTTTAGATTTCATAGACCACAGACCACAGAAAGGGGAAAATTATAGGAAGTCAGAACTACCAAGTTCAATTGACCACATTATCATCAACTATGCCTTTTATGTTCCTTTTTTGAGCAAGGGGGGAAAAAATGCCTGCTTGGAAGTGAATGGAGAAAGGTTTAGGCCAAACCTCAAATTTCAAGTAGCTGAGACAGGGTGTGAAACATAATTTTGGAATAATCAGGGTGGGAGACCATGAGACTTAGAGAACCATGTCAGTATCCTACAATAGGAGGAGTTAACCAGCTTGCCCATCTCCAGCCCTCACTTTGGGTGGATGACATTGCTATAGAATGCAGAGAACTTGATGAGGTGAGATGCCAAGGAGCCTAGTCAGGCCCTGGGTAGAACCTGAGGCTCCCACATCACATACAAATTACAAACAGCATAGTACCTCACTTTACCTCCACATGCTATCTCCAGGATCTATGTCCCTACTTCTTACAGCTGTCACACAGCCAGCTCCTAAGGACTTACAAGCAGGGCTGGAAGAGGAGGCTGTTTAAGATAAGTGAGAGAGGAGCAAGCCAGGGACTTGAGGGCCTCTGACCTCAAGATGCCAGATGAAATACAGGACCCCAGTTAAAGATGAATTTCAAATAAACAACAAATATTTAATGTTTTAGTATCCTTATTTGTTGTTTGTTGCTAAATCTGGCAATATTAACCCTACCAGGTCTCTTAGACATTCTTTGGCAAAACACTTTGCTGAGGAGTTAACTGTTCCAAGACCCCACAAATCACCCAGATAACTTGATTACTTCACAACTGCAGGCGAAACACCTATATGCCTCTGGCCAAAAATGCCATTTGAGAGAGAGCAATGAGAAGACTTTATGCAGGCATACTTGTGAGAAATTGAGGCAGAATCCCATGTGGCCAGGTTAGTTGCAGGGCTAACATGACCAAGGCTTTGGCTGGAATAGCATTTCCAGACTGTGTTAAGGAATTAAGTTTGACTTTATAAGGCCAGTGAAAAAGCACTTTGGAAAACTGGCCAGATACCCATCAGTAACCTTTCCTGATCTGTGGTAAGTGACGAAGGTCACTTGCTGACAGGTCCGGGAATAGAGTAACCTTTCCTGATCTGTGGTGTGTGACGAAGGTCGCTTGCTGATGGGTCCGGGAATGGAGTAACCTTTCCTGATCTGTGGTAAGTGACGAAGGTCACTTGCTGACAGGTCCAGGAATGGAAATGTGCTAGGGGACCTCACGAGAAGAGGAATTTACCCAGTGCATACAGGTATCTAATGGCACAGATGAAACCTGGGCTCATGAAAGGCTTTTGAGAAGTCCAGCCTGAGAATTCCTTATAAAAGGCTCCAGCAACACCCCCCCCCCAACCTAAGGCCTACATGGGAGCCAAGGTTTGCACACAAATTCCTGTATGCCCAAGAAGTTTCTCTATGCTTTGCTTAAAAATTCAAAGTAACTGCCTCCAAATGGCACAGTCAGTAGAACAGACATTCAAATCGTCTCTTTCCCCCACAGCCTCAGACTTCATCAGATAAGAACAAAGACTGACAACATGTTCTTCATTAAGCTATGTTAAACTGGATTATGTTGAAAGGATTATGCTTAAAGGTGTATGTTGGGTGGATTATCAGATTACTAGGGAGGAGTTACTTACGGGACAGATGGTCATAAAATGTTTAAATGGATTAATGAAGTCATTGATGTCCAATGCACATGTGCAGAGAGATTGTAATGAACGTTAATGAGGTCATTGCTGTATAGCACGCATGCACAAGATTCCCTATATAAACCAAATGTAAATAAAGAAAGCTCACCATTTTGCCTGAGCGAGCAGATGGTCACCTTTATTTAAAACACAATTTCAATAAGCATGCTTATTCTGTGCCATATCTCTTTTCTGTGAGACCCTTATGGCAACACACAACCCCCCAGATAGCTTGATTAGAAGTTATCTAATCAATAAGTTGATTAGTTAGTTCTGACTTCTGGTCTTTTCTTGGCTCCCACATCCATAATGAAGTCCACCTATTCCTTACTCCAAGATCATTTGTGAAGCCCAGGAGGCATCCATGGTTGGTATTTATCAGGTACCAATATTAAACCCACCTATAAATATGAATTTGCCTAAATCAGGTCCCAAGAAGTCTAGGAAAATTGAAGAGAGTCAGCAGATTGAACAAAGGAGATATGACAGAAAATCCAGGGAAGATGGAATTGCTGAGATTCAAAAACAATTAATTACATTGCTGAAGTAAGACCAGAATTCCTGGAAATTGGAGAAATGTAAGAACAAAAAGATTTCTTGGAGGGCAAAAATAATGGATGACACAATGAGTGGATATGTTAAAAGCCTAATTAATAAGTTAGAAAAACAATTGAAGAAATTCATTCAAAAGTAGAGTGCAATTTTAAAGATTAGGACAAAATTATGAAAGAATAAAGTCTTATGACGATAGTTGCAGGCAGTAGACTGTTCTCATGTTAAGAATCCAGACATAGAACAGAGTAGAGAAATACATAAATAGAAAGAAGATCAATGAATGGAAATATCCCTGAGCTGAAATTATAGAAATACAATAGAACCTCTATAGGTTGACCACCCAAGGGACTATAACAAACGGGTCAACATACAGATACATCAGGTACTGATACGTACATGTGGTACATGTCTGGTCTATTAGGTCAACTTAAGGAGGTGGTTAGTGTAGGGAGGTGGTCAACTATGGAGGTTCTACTGTATACACAATCAAAATCTTGGATATTTTGTTTAAAATTGCTTAGTGAATGCCAGAAAAAAATGTTAAAAACAGATCCATGTCTGGAAATAATCTTAGTAAAATTTCCGAATGCCCTTGGAAAAATAGAAAACTCTGTCAGTTTCATAGTTAGAAATAACATTACCTACAAAGGGAAGAGAATCAGACCAGCCGTAGGCCTCCTGTGAGCCATTCCAAATGTTACAAGATGAAAGTACGTTTCTAGAATTCTGAGGGGAAAGAATTAGATCCTAGATTTCTAAACTCAGAAGAGCCACTGTTCATGTGTGAAGGCAAAGGAAAGGCATTTTCATTGAGACATGCAGTCTCAAAGGGTGAAAATCCACATACTGTTACTGAAAAAATGATGTCTTAATGTATTTCTGTGGAATTGAGTTATAAGTTCTGTGTAATATCTCCTGCTTCTTCATGATACAGGGTGGGAAACATGAGGTCTTAACTTTCCAGTCAGTAGCTTTCCCAAAGAAGTGGGAAGATCAGGGGAGTCTGTCCCTTTGGGAGCAGGGCCAGCCCCTGCCTGGAGCCTACATCATCCATGCCCAAGCCTGTACGCATCCCAAAGCTGTGAGAAATAGCCATGCCCTCTTAGGAAACCAGCCCTTTGCAAGCTGCTGTTCTATGCGTGTGCCTTTGCTCTGGGTCCTCAGACCCTTTGTTCTGCTGACCCCTCAGCCTGAATGGCATGATCTCTGCACATGACCCTGAGGACCTGGCCTCCCCCATCACATCCTCTATGCTATGTGTGTCAGGGTCAGGCAGGAAGCAGTCACCATGCATGTCATGGGATAAGCAGTTTATTTCAGAAAGAGGACCTTACACACTTTTAGAAATAGCTTGGAAACTAAAGTTCCAGAAGACAAGTTGGAAGGATCAGCAGAGCTTGCTGATAAGTCAGTCTGAGAAACCAAGCACGTCCAGCTGCTGAAGTGGAACCCACCAAGGAGAAAGTCATCTGGAAGTCTGAGAGGCTTCCCTCTGTGTGGCCATGCCCCAGCAGCTCTGCAGCCTACAACACAGCAGTGAATCTGGGACCACTGCAAAGGGATTCGCAGTGGGACGTGGTACAGAGGCACACAAAGGCCAAACGCTGGAACCTGGGATTGTCTACGTTTGTCCATCACTGAACTGAACTACAACAGCCACTCCTCCCTCTGCCTTTCAAAATTAAGTGCTAGCTCCAATTTTAACCAACCCAAACTAGGGACCACAATAAGGGGATTCCAACAAATGTGTTTCCCAGTTTATGTAACTTGGTTCCAACACGAGCCATCACACTTACTTTTAATTACCATGTCTATCACCTCTGCTCCACTCTGAATTCATTAGGAACACAGCATGTATTTTCACACCTCCATCACTGGTGAAACCTCTGGTGAATGAATGAAACCTTGAATTTAACAAATTAATAAACATATTAATAGACATATTCACTGATGTACACTGATCAGTACAGTGGACACATGGATGGCCTGTCTGTGTCACTTCCCACTCAAAAGCGTGCTTGTTCTCTGTTATGTAATTTCAATTGCAATTCCAATATAAATAAAAACAATTGAAATCAGAGTAGGAGAGAAGCTGCAGGACCATGGATCTTCCTAAGATCCCTTCAGTATACCACCAAAGCTACCACCTAACTTAACAGTGTGCAAAGTTGTCCCGAATAAAGATATTAATGCTCGTCGAAGTCCTCCTGCCATATCATTAATGGTTATGAGATTTAGTTATGTGCGATACTGTTCTATGAAACATATACCATATTTTACTACATCAAAACACTTTATTCATATATTAACATCTCTAAAATTGGGATGCATCTTAACATCAGTGGCAACCAATCCTTCCTTTGGTATTATTGTGTTTCTATTAGTGGCGCAGAAAATAATGGTGTGCCTTACAATTGAAGTATGTGGAATCAATGAAATAAGTCAATTACGCAGGGATTCATTGGTGTTTGAGGGTGCGTAATACAGAAAAAGTAGTAATTTTTACAGATCTAATTGAAATCTAATTATCAGTACAATTAGGAATAACAATTATGTTATTATGTTGTTTTTTCCTTAAAAAATCTTTCTGTAACTGAGGCAGAAATGAAAGACCTGTATAAAATCGAATGCCTTTTACACATTTTGTGTTAACATTATTAATGTTTTTGTGATATTAAATAATAATTAGTAAGCTTGATTCTTATTCATCCTATTCACTCTTCATAAAACGCTTCTGCTCATTTTCAGTT